CAATACCTGACGTAATCAAGGCTATAAAAGATGATTAGGCCAAATTAACTAGTCTCAAGAAGAAAATTACCCTTATCCTTTTTAATAGTAGTAGGTACCGAACAAAAATTCCTACACACATACTTCAATTGCATACTTGTTTAGAGTGGTAAGATAAGGCAGAAGTACTTAATAATACAAAAATATTCTTATATCACTTAAGTACGTGGTATAATTAAATAATTAAAATTAGTCCCGGCTGCATCTGCAGTCGTTAGCACCCACCAATCCGCACTGGGCCCGCGTGGTGGGTCATGGCCCAATCTCCCTATTCCATCCATAGGGAAGGCCTGTGCCCCAGCAGTGGGGACATTACTATTAATTCATCATAATCATCAGCCTATGCTGATGATTATGATGACTACTACTATAGCTTTAGAATAATTATTACTACTGCTTTAGAAATTCATGCCAAAACTAGGGTCAACGGGCCAATGTGGTGTAGATTTATCCAATCACTACGAATTAAACAAAAAAAAAAAATAAGAGTAACCGGTCAAAAATAAAGAAGAAATAAGATAAGTACCTAATAGAGATAATGGTATATCCAACGCATTAAAAATCAGCTGTAGCGTTAAAAAAACAGCTGCAGATAAAAAAACATACATATTTTACAAAAACGCAAACAAATTTTAAGTAGAAAATCAAACATTGTTTACAAATTATTTGTGGGAATCAATTACCATAATTTCTACATGTATCTTATCATTTCAAACAGAATTTATTATATAGTAATCTAATTAGCAGATCTCTATTAGTCTCATTTTAATAGATAAACATTTTGGGTTGTAGTAAAAGATAAACTTAACATTATAATGTAGCAGGAAACTACGTACCTATGCTTAATATTAAAGAAAAAAAAACAATGTTCGTTCAATCAATCAATTCAATCGTCTGTTGTTAGAAATCTAGTCATAGCTGCCGACTAAGTGATTTCTCATATAACGTGTTACACAAAATCACTCATTTCATTGCACATGGTGCAGACAAGACAAGACACGGTGACCTACTTAGCCAAGGACAAGACATATATGTACAACATGCCTGCTGAATGCCTGAAATCGATATTAAAAGTGGATGAATTATTAAAAACGTCTTCAACTGACAACGCCATCTAGTCTTCAACTGACAACTTTAATAGTATTGGAAATATACGAAAAAGTAATAAAATCAAAAAATATTATAACTACTTGAAAATCTACCCCCTTATTAATAAACAAGGAATAAGCTTAAACCTGGTACGCCTTGTTTGTTCATGTCACTCAAATGCCATCTGTCATTCAATAAACAGAGACAAAACATGGAATAACTAATCCATGCATAATCTTCGTTTATTAATAAGGGGCTATAGTTTACAATGGGTAATCCTACAGCTAGAAATCTAATCCTAAGCTTTATATTTAAGAAAAGTTAGACATGCGTTCAACACGGCTTTAAGAAAAATGTCAAACGAAATTTGCTAAAACAAGGTTTGTTTCACTTTTTTATAGTAGGAATCTCGCGAATCTCTAACATCACATTTTTAGGTTTAAGGTATCTATATTTTTATTGTATACGTTGTTTTATGTCGACTTATGTTCTCTATAACCTAATCATAATCATATTTAAAATCTATCGACATGACTTTTCCATTTAAACTTATTTTTTAAATATAATTTCCACCATCTATTAAGTATTTTGACGACATCATTATAGCGTACGATTAATTATTTACTGATAAAAAGATTTTCTTCGGAACAAGTATCACAGATATGTCGATAATATCACTAATTGATCGTATGATCGATCCTATTACAGTTAGTTTACACGAAAGAAGTAGAAAACGCAGATATAATTTTAGTTTAATGACTTTAATTGGGAGTAACAACATGCTGAAATGAATTTATTTTTGTTTGGATTTATGTTGTATAAACGCGCTGCCCTAACTCTACTCATAGAGATTTTGTGAACATGATACGAAAAAGTAAGGAGAAATAGTGTAAAAGTGGGTGGGAATACAAACACGATTAGGGTTAATGTAAAAACGAAATAAAATATTCGTCGGTCACCCATCTATTATACAGCCTCTCATAAATTTTCAATGATAGAGCAGACACATCGATTCGAACTGCTAACTATGTATTTCGGGTCATAAAAATCTTAGAATACCCGCCATTGGTTACGCATTTAGTACCTACTCATGACTAGGTACAGCCATGCTATAATATTTAGAATATGTTACAATAATCAATTTCCTGGTCCGCCATTTTATGGGCGTTTTGGAGTTCAATTCAACCACGTATAATATTGATCAAACGTATTAGAAATGGAAAATATTTTTTATGTGAAATATTTTTTTTTGTCAGTACATTGTCTGAATAACTTGGCAAGTTTTTTTTAATCATTTGTTTAATTAGTTTATTATTGAAATCTGTTAAAAGTCATGTTTCCTGTTCCTGTTTCACTAAAGTCGAAGCTTTTATGCTTCACGGATGTAATGCATAAGCTCTCATCAGCGAATGGCGTGGCTAATGATAACCAGGGCATACAAAGAGTTAATAAATTAACAGTATACCTAACCATGCCTATACATTATGTGGACGGACAAACGTCGGAGTCAATGACCCCTTAATGATCTACTAGGTTAATATACCGGGTTTTATACTCACGTTACACAAGCAACTTGGCACATATATTTTTTAATTGGATCTAGAATACCTGCCGTGTATATTATTCATAAATTAATAATAAATCTTAATAGTAATAAGTCATTCTTTCAAAATACATATAAAATAAAAACAATAAATAATTAAACGGAACAGATAGTTATTAACATTGTTTTTAATTTTTATAACTAGGCTATACGACGGACTAAAGACTAATGGGTAATATATTATTACGAGATATAATAAATTGTTGCTTTTCTGTTTGTACTCGTAGTAATAATTCATTTGGTACTGTGTGCAACGATAGTTGCATATTTTCTTAATACAATTGTATTACACAAAAACAGATGTTGATTAATGGAATATAGAAACAAAGTGTTTTTAAACATTTATTGAATAGTCCAGACTTATAGAAAGAATTTCATAAACTCCTCTGCACACACAAACTTTCTTTCTATAGTTCTGTTATAATGTACACTGTATGTTAAATAAATCTTGAGAAATAAATCAGCAGGTACAATAATAAAAGTGAAGGATATTTTCGGAATAAAAGATTTAATTTAATAAAATATACTTCATTGGTTGATGATTGAGACGTAAAATGATTCCGTACAAGAAACCGCGATAGAAAAATCATTTGTTTGTTTTCGTCAAAACTTACAAAGTACATTATGTTATTTTGTGTTTTCAGTATTTGTTATGTTAAAAAAACATAGTTTAATTATGGGACATCATATACCCTATAAAATTTTGCATTCTTAATTAGTTTTGACTTTGAGATAGATTCTTTAACTGACATTTACTAAAAATTACAACTCCGACGGTCCTCCATTTCTTGGTTATTGAAAATTAAAAATAATAAAATTTCTATTTATATCCTACTCAACGAGATTTAGACAATGATGTGTTACATGCTGGGGTAAAATAGAAAAAAAAAAATCGTCTCCTTTTCCTGTATGAATGACATGAAAAATTATTTATTTGATTTTTTTACCAAACTTTCGGCTTTGGGCAACTATTCTACATAGAATACAAAAATTTCAGTTCTGTTACTATTTGCATTTACGATGTAGAGACCCTGACACACGGACAGATAGACAGACAGACAGACGATAGAGTGACAGCAATATGTGACCCCCCATTACTATCCTTTAAGTACGGAACCCTTAAAAGTATCTATTCGGAGAGTTAAGGAACTTTGAACGAACCAAGACGTCCTCTTAAATCCAAATTAAATTCTAAATAAAACAATCTGTCAGTGCGCCACCTCCTAGCCATAAATATAATGGTGTCCTCATTATACTTAAATATAATCATCTCATAGTAAGTAGATTGAATAGTCTGTATGACTTGCAAAATTTTGCTCATGACTCTACTAAAATTTTTAAGATATCAATACGAAAAATATCAACTTTCAAATTTAGCATAAATTATCATGTTGTGTAATATTGCATCATATATTTATTTATCTATTCTTACAGGAAGATTGTAATAAAAGAATGTCAAAATTTTGGAGCGAAATATCATCACCATCTTGTATGCTTTCACAGTGAGGAAAAAAACTCTCACACATAATAATAAATATTTAAGCATTATATTATTTCTTACAATTGCATTAAAAAAAAGAATAATTTTATTGTAATACTAGTTAAACTGTGATATTTTGGAACAGAACTCGCGTAGAAAAAAATGTTTCAAGCTGCGCTACTCAAACGTTAAACGATGGCAGGTAGGGGATCCCGCCTTTGTCGGCTCGTCCAGACTTTAGGGGGTGAGGGATGAGGGTGCGCAGGTAAACCCGGCATACTTTAATACGCAGACAAGCACCGTGGCCTTTACACACAAGACCGGTTCAAAGGACCGCCACTCGTGAAGGACAAGTAAACAGGAATGAAGTTCGCCACACACGATTTGATAACGTAATCAGAGCGAGTGACGATATTCTCGCGCTTACAAAAAATACAACAACAACGATAAAGCAACCACATATACCCGAATACTGACTGGCACATGTTACATTTTTCACATATTTATGAGAACTTTATAAATAGCTTGATGAAACACAACTCGCGGTGATAATGAAGTATTCTTATATCTCGTGAATCACGCGAAAAAATCCAGCTTTATTTTTTAAAACTGCCGAAATACGTTTGCATACGTAAGTTTCGGATCGTGCATTAGGTCAGTACGTATGGAAAAAGTAGCGGCATACGCCTCACTCGTAAAACAGAGTTGGTAATTTTATTTGAATTAACTACTCGTATGTGACACTTAAACCGCGTTTAGTTTCAGTTAAAATTATAAATGCGGACTCACCTCGTGTATCGAGTTGTCAGTGCTGAGGTTATAGGTTATGTGACGAAAGCACAGGCCACGTGTATTTATAGTGAGCAGCGCAGCACCGTTCGCAGCGCGGGTTAAAATCAGAATGAGGGATGCCGTCGGCCGGCAGCGCGTCGTACGACCAACACACGCACTGCAACTGGTATCAATTGTTGCGTCACCGAACGTCGCGGCCCGTTATACGCTGTGCTTCGTACGTCCGAGGAAAGCGTGCATATTCGGCCCACGCGACCGTAGGCTTGTCACTAAACTGAAAGTTCACAATTTTTCCGCTTCTCCACAACCGCTGAAAACTGTTGATCGATTTTATAATTGTTAACGCACTACCGTATCGCTAGTGGACGTGACGCATCGAACTTTTGAGAATATATTGGCGATACGGCTGTGAAGAGAAGAAGAGAATTGACTGAGAAATCAAGATATTAGTAATGCAATATTCATCATTATAATGAATAGAATATATTTTGATGGAATACTAGTCGTGCTGCAACTCCAGTTATGGATCGCCAATCTGTGTAACTTGCTTCCCGTAACATCGCTTTACTTGATTTCTCTGCAAGTTATACAAAAAGTCTTTCCTGTTCCAGCGCCCCACGCTTTTACAGTCAAATATTATAATAAAAGCACATAATTTACACTTCAGCACAGATATAGAGACAACTTGAACGATCCATAATTTATTTTTGGTTTTTACGTGCATTTATAAAAGCGTGTTTTTCTAGTTTTTTTAAACTATTAATTAATTCTTTTTCTTAACTTCATGTAAAATACGATACAACGTAATCTCAGAATATTGCTTCCATAGCGTGCGCTTCACTTAATTTTCGAGCAACAAATGTCCGCACACGTCGTTTTGAAAAAAAACAGTGTGTGCGTTGAGTCGGTGACAGATGATGCCGGATATCAAAATCAGGCAGCGTGAGGTTCGTGCCTAATTGCAATCACTCGACGTCCGGAAAGCTAGTGGACCCGATGGCATCCCAGCAGTAGTACTGAAAAAATGTGCAGCGGAGTTGTCTCCCGTGCTCACGCGTTTGGACCAGTGCTCGTATTCTTTGGGGCGTGTGCCGGAAGCTTGGAGAGATGCTATAAACATATCTGGGGTGAGGCTATCGACAAGCGAGGCGAGTCGTTGGCTATTAGCCTTGACATTGCCAAGGCATTCGACAGGGTCTGGCACAAAAGTCTTCTCTCCAAGCTTCCGGCATACGGTCTGCCGGCCCAGTTCTGTTCTTGGGTAGCTGACTTCCTGCATGAATTCGTGTCCTTACGGATGGCAGCAGTTCGCGGTTCATGTCAGTGAATGCCGGCGTTCCCCAGGGCTCCGTCCTATCCCCCACTCTCTTTCTGCTGCATATCAATGACTTAATTCCTCTTGGGAATATTCATTGCTATGCAGACGATAGTACAGTGCATGCAGGGTATCTCGGACAAGCAGCGGCTGGGTAGGCGGTAACCAAGGAGAAACGGGAGAATCTTGTCATTGAGCTCAATCAGGCTTTGGACCACATTTCTGTATGGGGTACCAAGAACTTGGTTGAGTTCAATGCTAAGAAAACCCAGGTCTGTGCTTTCAAGGCAAAAACGTCGCATTCCTTTTATGTCCTTCTCTTCAGGGCACAACACTGGAGCTAGAGAGCAGTATCACCATGCTCGGTATGGAGATTCGTTGTGACTTAAATCCAAAGAATTACATCGAAAGTGTGATAAAAACAGCCTCACGCAAACTCGGAGTCCTGAACAAGGTGCGGCGTTTTTTCACGCCCGAGCAACTGTGCTTGTTGTATAAGACGCAGGTGCGGTCTTGCGTGGAATATTGCTCGCACCTCTGGGATGGCTCCGCTAAGTACTTGCTCGATGCTTTGGATAGGTTACAGCGGCGCGCAATCCGCATCATAGGCGATGAGGAGGTGATTAAACACCTCGAGCCTCTTCAATTACGCCGTGACGTGGCGTCACTAAGCGCGTTCTATCGTCTGTACCACGGCGAGTGTTCTGAGGAGTTATTCTCTCTTAGAGACCACGCGCGCTGGCTTACGTTGTCACCGTCTAACTGTGGCTACAATTACAACGCATACAAAGTTTGGTGACTCATTTCTTTGTCGTACTATCCGTAAATGGAATCTCTGCCCGCTCCCTCCCTCTTACAACCTGGGATCCTTTAAAAGAGGCGTGAAGAAGCAACTTGCAGGCCGGCAGGGTGAGGATGGCTGGTGTGGCAGTTAGAACTGCTGTATCAGCTATCTTCGCGTCTGGACTTCACCTTCACTTAACATCAGGTGGGGTGGAGTCATTTGTCGGATCTATCTATATAAAAAAAAAAGACAAGTCTTCGGCGGACATTTTTTTCATATTACGCGCACGAAAGTCCTCCACGGACAAAAGTCCGCCGACTGCGCGGACTAACAACATGATTTTTTTCAGATTCAGTTATTTTCAAATTTTACTTACCTAATCTGTACGAAGATTAATTTTTTTACCGATTTCAAAGAAAACAGGAGGAGACTCTATGTTCGTTGTGTAATAATTTGATCGGTAATTTTGAATAAGTACCAATATAAATAAACAATTTCCAAATATTCGGTTGAATGGACACTGACGAATCCTTTAATAGTTTTGTGTTCGATCACAATCAAACTTTGTTTTATCTAAAAAGTACCATGTGTAGAACTATAATTTCTACTAAAGATTGAAGAATAATGAAAAGATAACGTGTTCAATATTTTATTTATAAATTCCTTTATTTTTGATGCAGGAGCCAATCATAATGGGAGGGCCGACATATGTACAGGTTAACTTTTTTTTACGTAATTATAGTAAAATCATATTTAATTATGATAAAATAGTTAACATCAGTTAGATAAGATTAACATTATTTAATGCATAGGTCACTTTATGATACTTACGTTTGGTTTGAGTTGTTCTCAGAATTAGTTTCGTACAGTGCACATAGGTATTTAAGTTACATATTTCACACCTACATACTACTGGAGTAAATTAGATATTATTAGTTTAACTTTTCTTTTTTCAATGTCTTCTGTAAAAGTGTTGGTTGAGCCCAGTAACCAGATTCTTGTTAGTGGTTTTTTTTTCATAATTATTTAATAGCACATTAAGTTATTTCGAATCCTAATATTACAAAATTAGTAGAAATTCAGACAAAACGGACGAAATATAAGGGGATGGACCCAGTGTTCACTTTTTGAACGTCTTCTCTTTTTCTTAAACTTCACAACGTAATTTCAGAACATTGCTTCCACAGCGTGTCCTCGGCGGACATTTTTTGAAGTGAAACCTCTTTCCTACTTGAGGGGTTAGCTGGCAAATGCGTTACGCGTTTCGAAAAGTGTGTTCGGGCGAGGCGAACGGGAGTTGAGTGGGGGATAATATAAGCAAGAGAAAGCAATGCGCGCGCACATTTTCTTTCTCTTTTTCTCTTATAGCTAGTAAATTAAATATGTTTAAGTACATGCATGTATATATTGTACACACACACACATATATAAATATATATATATATACATATACATACAGATATAGCTAAAGAAGTTTCACATCAGTTGTGTGGTCATAAGCACACTCGTTTTTTTTCATAATACGGGGACAAAAAGTTCGTCGTCTGCGCAAGCTTTTAAAGTTCGCGTTCATAGATGTTCGTTTATAGTCATTTGTCTACGGCGCGGCGCTAGACTATTTATTTTATTGTTTTGTTTCTGATAAAGGTTGACACATAAAGCCAACAAAAGATATTTGGTCGTTTTCCAAACAAATTACTTGCTTATTACCTACTGGTTTTGTACATTGTTTTATTGCTGTACTAAACTTCTTCTTTTTCAATGTCAGTAAACAATTTCTCCATAATGCATTTCCTACATATTTCCACAAAGGATGCCATAATTGATTTTCCGGTAAAAATATTACCCCATAATTTCTTAGAAAACGCCTATTTGAACTTCAGAATATCCGTATTATGGTCAAATCTACTTTCAAGGTATTAATTATTCAACGAAAGCAATTACTTAACCTTTTGTTGGTAAAAGCCTAAGAGTTTGCACGGCCCAAGTCTAGGCAGGCACGATTAAGGTTTCTTCAACTATTCAGCTGATATTGGAGATAGCAATTCAGTTAACTTAGAGATAGTCTAAACAAACTCGGCGCCGGTTTGCATCTGTGTGTTATTTGAAAAATGTGCTTACAAGCAACGTTTGTGATAAATTAATATAACAAATAATATTTTATTATTTGATGAACTCGATGGCGCAGGTGATAATCGCATTCGGCTTACGATGTTGTATATTAAGCAACTTTCACAATGGTCGGTCTTTGGATGGGTGACCAAAAACTTATTATCTCGAGCTTCTCCGTGCTAAGGAAGGCACGTTAAGCCGTTGGTCCCGGCTGCATCTGCAGTCGTTAGCACCCACCAATTCGCACTGGGCCCGCGTAGTGGGTCAGTGTGACGACCCAGTCTCCCTATTCTATCCATAGGGAAGGCCTGTGCTCCTGCGATGGGGACATTAATAAGCTGATGATGATTGATTGATGATTTCATTATTTACAGTATATTCGTGTATAATGTAAGTTGTCTTCTTTATTTTTGTGAACTGAATGCGAGTGTATGAAATCTATCAAAAAATGCTATGTAGCAAAAGTCTAATAATCCTGACTGATACCTATACGCAGTGGTTTTTTCTAATATAATTTTCTTTAGAAGTACCTACTTACTTATAAAAAAAATAAAATTTTGGAGTGATTAAAAAAATAATTTCGATACACGATTCCAGTAACTCTCGGTGTGTAAGTCCATAAGTCCTTGAAATGACACAAGGGTTTTATGTTTTTTACAGGTACTTATTAATGAGTAAGCACAGAATTCTTGCCTTAGACCAACGGCATTTAAAAGTGCTAACTATCTATATCACAACAATTATTTTTCATTGATAGGTAACCTTAAACGCTTTTGCTCGGTGAAAAATGACTATGGAGATTTATGTTAAAAACACTGAGCACCCGTTTACTCTCAATTCTTAAAGACACCTCAGTTACATCAACTGCAAAAACCGTCCAGGCGAAAGAACTGGAAGTTCATTTTAGATCTTAGCTATACGTGATCACGGTGGCGTGACTAAGCTGCAAATTGTAGAGCCGGATATTTTGGACGTCGCAAACTTATGGGTG